ATTCAATCCTACAAGCTTTTTAGAGTAGGATTTGCACTATTTATTGTGATCACTAAACATACTTACAATTTTTTGGTCGTCTGAAACTACAGTTAATACCTTTTCCTGAAACGAAAAATGAACACAAAGTACCTACCTAATTTTTTATTCACTATGATGAAGCTCTTGGCTTGTATTTTACCTGATGGAAAGTGATGTCAGGTGGAAGCTACCGTCACCCTCAATAGAGGGCATAGAGGAACTGGCTATCTTACCTCAACCGTATTTAATCTTCTTTCTCTATCTTCTCAGCGAAGCACTTTCAAGTACCTACTAACTTAACAATTCTTCTTGAAATAAAAATGTTTCTTTATATTATATTTTGCAATATTTTCCACTTGCACCATCACGAGATATGCGCCATATTTACAAGGGTACGTTCCCCACGTCTCGCCGATGTATTGAAATTTGTCGTCTCGGCGTCGCGGCTTCAGACCCAGAGCAGGCGTTGTGCTGAGTAATAAAGTTATTGACTGCTGTGCAAGTTTGTATTAGTTTGGTTTCTGATAGACGAGTGTAGAAGACATATTATTTTCCTAACTTAGCTGACGAAATTTAATTTCTCATAATGTTACATTGATTAGTCATATTACTTTTAGAAATGCTTCCCTTTTCTATTAAGTTATTGTGCTCCTTAATTCAAAGATCGCCTGAGCCGTTGGCGTTGGCGAATTCAATCAGACGAAAGTACTAAAACTTTTGTTGTCGACAAATCGCAATTATCTATTAATAAAGAATACTGTTTTTATTAATTTATCAGGTATTTTTTCTTCTGTCAGCTGGATTTTCTTCCGCTTCTTATTTAGTTTCTACCACTTTACTATCTCTATTTCGTTGATATCCGCTAGCCAGAAAATAAAATGCTTTTAAATCATGCTAAAGGTGTACCTAAAAGAATGCACCTACATATCATAGCTTAGGTACTCGATTTCTGATATCTTCATACGCATTTCGCAAAATATCTTCAAACGATAGAAATCCACCTTACCCAGTTCGGCAATTCAGCAAAAACAAAAGACTAACCGTATTGTCTACTTACTTAAGAGCCGCCGAGTTCCGCAAGTCACCGCGGCTTCCCTAACCGCTCCCGAGGGATCTCACCTGCCAAATGCCTCCAGATACTTATCTTTTCGTAGCCTTCTCCTGGCTTTGAGTTTGCCCGTTGAAAACATTGGTATATGTATCCTTCTTCTTATGGTTCAAAGAATCTTTTATGACAATTAACTTGTGCTTTTATAGCATCACCACATCACTAAACTCCTGTCATATGCTAGTTTTTACTTTTTTGCTAGACTTGCCTGTTTATTACCCTTCAGATTGCTTTGTGATGACTCTACATTTTTTTTGTGCCAATTTGATTAAATTTCACCAAAACCGTACCCAATTTTGTTGTAGTTATTATTTCTATTTGATTTCACGTTTGTAATACATACCTACATTAAAACAGTTACCTAGCCACTCCTGAGGGATCCTCAGTTCCTCACCTGCCAAATGCCTCCAGATACTTATCCTCACGTAGCCTTCGCCTGAGTTTGCCCTTTGAAATTGTAAAATCCTTCTTCTAATGGTTAAAAAAATCTTACATGACATTAATTTTTGCCTTTATAGCATGACCACATCACTATACTCTTGTAAATTCTAGTGTCTACTTTTTTGCTAGACTTGGCTGTTTTATACCCTACGGTATTACTTTTGTGATGACTCTTCATTTTCTTTTGTGCCAATTTGGTTCAATTTCACCAAAATTGTATTCAACGTTGCTGTAGTTATTTATTATTAATAATATTTCTATTTAATTAGACGTTTCTAATACATTAAAACAGTAACCTAATTGCTCCCAAGGTATGCCCTCACCAGCTGCCAAATGCCTCCAAATACTTATCTTCTTGTAGCCTTCACCTGAGTTTGCCAGTTAAAAACATTGGTATTTATCTGAGTAACAACACGTAATTAATAAATATGAAAACATCAACTTGTGTTTCTAATGCCACTGAGCTGAGGTCAGTTTCTACTTTTTGCTAGACTTCACTGATTTTGGAATGCTTCAAAACCACTAACACATTGATTGTGAACGAAGAGTTTAGGGCAAGACACTAGGTAGTTGTCAAAGGCCTGTAGGCTTTTATATTTATTTGCTAGAAGTGAAAGTTTCACATGTGAGGAAATCGGATGACTCTACATTTTCTTTTATACCAATTTGGATTAATTTCATCATAATCCCAGTTCCCACCCAAAGTTATTGTTATTTTAAATAACATTTCTTTTACTTTAGTTAGACGTAAAAAGTACACAAAGTTGTCTTGTTTAATACACGCGTCATAACTTCTATAATATCGTAGGAAAGACGTCGTCCACCTAAACTCAGTAACCAGTCCCGGGGGAATCTGCCTCACCTGCCAAACGCTGGATTGAATCTTTTATTTCACCACTTTGGTCTGTCTTTAGAGAATTGCTAGAAAATAAAACATCATCGGCATAACTTTTGATGTCGATTCTAGGAATCTTTGGTTGAAATTAAACACCGTATCGGACCGTACGCAGGACACAAAGCTGTATTTGATGTGCTTTTGACTATAATGTGTTTTGATCACAGTTTTATTAATATTTAGTCTGTTTCTTTTATGTTCAATCTTAAAAATAATGATAAACAAACAATTGCACGGCTATTAGGTTAATTGTTTGAATTTTTTTGTCTACTTAGATGTCTATGTATTTTTTATAAATAAGTACTTACATTTTGGTTTTGAGATAGGTAATAATGACAATGTTGGTAATCATTATTACAATCTCATCGTCGTCTTGAGAGAGACTCTTCTGAATATTTCTTTTATTTCTAATACTCCTGCTACCGAACTCAAAACTATCCCAAAGGGATTTATCTCAAAAGAGTACTAGCGGTAGTTTGCGCTACCAATCCTTCAAAAGCTACGGTAGCAAAATCCTGTTATTTGCATACAAACGACACAACAATGAGTTTTGTCTATTGCCAAAACTTAACTCTTTGACGCGCCGGCACAAAAAGGGTTATTGTTAAACTGACGATTTGCAAAATCGTAAATCTATTTTGTGACTAATTTGCCTTTTTGTTTATTTTTTGTTTTTGCCGCCACCTTTATTGCCTTAAAGTGACTTGTCATGCGGGACCGGAATGCTGAAGAAAATATTTTTGAATTGTTTATTGTCTGTTTGGAATGGATGCCCGTTACACAGCAGAAATTATTGAAACTCGCATTTTTACTGAGCGAGATGAAGCGTTGCCGCAATTCTTACAAACTACATCGTCACCTCATTTTTTGATGGAACCAATTTGGAATAGCATAGATTTTTTCTAATTATTAGACAGAAAAATCCAGGAAACTTTCCGTAAACAACAGTTTAACTTGATACTCATCAGTTAATAGGCAAAGGAATTTTAGTTAGGCCAAGCTTTGTTGTACGCACAGTACACCGATCGAACTTAAGTATTGTGATCGATTATAAATTCCGCGCATAATATTCATAGACTTGATGAAACTTTTCATGTAGTTCCATGATTCATGAAGAAGCCTGTTCATCGTCGTCATCGTTTCAGCCAAATGACGTCCACTGCTGGACAAAGGCCTCCCCCAAGGTTTTCCATAATGAACGGTCCTGCGCCTTTACCAGATCGTCGGTCCACCTAGTAGGAGGCCTGCCCACGCTACGTCTTCCAGCCTGTAATTTTCAGCAAATATTTTTTTCAATCCAGCATTGTCTAATTTCAATAACGTTCTTTTCATCGTTTCACGTAAATGGTCGACGAGCTTTTTTTAACGACATATTTATTTTTGTAATATGTATTCTTATCGAAAGCGAAGTCTCTATTTTGAGATACATAACATTTTATGCAAAGGCACTCGCTTCGCTCCACAATCGTGCATCCGTTCATCTCCAAGATTACTAGCTATGGAACGATGTGAAGCACACATCGAGATCGGACGGTCACTTTAAACAACAACCGTCATCTCACCATTCGAACGATAAAACCATGTCGGGCCACTCCGCGAGTGAAGATACGTTCGTGGCCACACAATGAGCCGGCGACGTTGATCGATGGAGCGCATTCATCGGACACATTACGATTTTTGCTTTCATTTCGTCCGATACGAGTGTCACAAGGTTATGATATCGATGTTATGAATCGCGTAGGATGCGATTTCCGATGTGCAGATTGTGAAAGGTTGCTTCGTTGGTATTCAATCTGTTGATACTCTGTTTGTTTCTATTGTGATGACGCTTAATCGATGTATTGGTATAAAATGGCTTCTCGTACATCAACATGATTCAACGGTTACAATTACAATTACTTAACAAATACTGTTGGCAATTCTTGAATCATCATAGAAAAACCCATTTATTTAATAGAATAAACTCGTTTTCTACATTTTCGCATTCAACCTCTCTTGAATTTGAAGTGAATGTAAGGAAGTATTTTCTGAGTGACTAAAATCGTCCATATGGCTCTCATGTTGATACTTTACTACGCATAGAGTTGAGTAGGTGCAAGATGATAGGTACTGTATGATTTGTTCAAGTATTTTCCGTATTACCTAGAATCCATGATGATTGACGGATGACTCACTATCAGTTCTAGGATTGCAATAATCACAAGGCAAAGTTCACATTATTACTATATTTATTGGTTTTGTATTCACAGTTTTCCTATTTTAGTTACAAAACAATTTTTCCCGATTAAAATAAAATTTCACAATTTTGTACCTAATCCTAAGTCATTGTCTACATCACATAATTGTTTATGGATGAGTTAAAGACTTGCACGAAATTATATTACTTGATAAAAATATGACCATGACAATTTCGTATAAAACTGTTATGAAGGTATTATAAATTATGTGCTGTAGGAAATACTATTATGGTTATAAGACAATTACTAGATTTTAAGTAGAAAAATTACTAAAAGAGCTAACTTGTAAGTATAATAACTTCGTGCAAGTCTAGCAGAGGGATTATACAATGTATTATACAAACGTTTTAATACTTTATACAATGCGACCATCTACCCATTTGTAATCTATGATAAAGTAACATCAGTGACATTAATATCTCGTTAGTTTATTTTATAACAACAATTATAAAAATAAATATGAATACTGTACTTATTTGTAACATATTATGTTGAAGAAATCTAGAAGATTACTTACTTTCTACACAATATTACGCTTCTGAAAAACTTAATAAGCCTGTATCATCTTGCAAGGGGCGCTATACTATAATAAAATTTATTTCAGAAGTATTTTACAAAAAATTTTCGCACACTTGTGTAGGTATTTTGTAAGAATGTTTTCAGTGGTATGTATGGCATTCCTAAATATTATGTGCAAAGTAATTAAGGTTGTTTTATATTCCGTAAAATATCTATTATCAGATTGGTAAAATATTATCGTATAGTGGTTAGCTAGCTACTATTTACAATTTCATTCAAAAATGGTAACTCTGCAGGTTGCAAAAAGAAGGATGTACCCTTTAATCAAAACCATTCACTTACAAACGACAATACTGAAATTAATTATAAAATAACTAGTTATAATGCATTTATAAATATTGTTATTATAGCTCACGACAATGACTTAAATTATAATGTACAAATCCGACACTCAGATGTTTATATCTACCCTAAAATAATAATAATCACACTTTTGACATTGTAAAGTTTTCCACTTAACTATCCAAACATCGAATTATGACTGTTTAATCTAGGAATACTTACACAAATTATTATACTTAACGTTAATTTAAATTTAATCATCACTTTATTACACCTTATCGACACGAAGGAATGGTTGTTACGAGAGTTTGTTAGTGAAAATATAGCATCTTTACATGGGTGATCCGAGAAGGGTCTACTTAGATTATAAGGCGGTGAGACCGTAGTCAGATTTGATGACAGGCTGGGATGTGGGGTTGAGCCCCGTGCCGCAACCGGCCGAGCCAACTGGCGACCCGTGGGCAGTCAGGCTCGCCACCATCGCAGGATCCATACCATGCAAGCTCATCATATGCAAATGGTGCGGCGTCATATGCCCAGCATTGATCTGCCCCTGATGAGACATCGGACTAATCGCCGGATCATGAGACAAATTCTGCCCCCCAACACAGTGAAGATCATTCATTATGTTATCCGTCACGTTCTCTATACTATCTGGTCGACCGTTGTTATTCGATTTCTTCTTGTCGTTATTATTGGTATTCTTATTCGATCTACTCTTTGGTGTCGCTTTAGAAGTGGTCGTGGTCACTCCAGCGGGATTCGTTTTTCTTCTCACGTTTTTGGTGTTCGGCAACTTATTGTCCTTCTTCCACTTCATCCGTCTGTTCTGGAACCATATTTTGATTTGTCGTTCAGACAGGACTAGAGTGTGCGCTATTTCTATTCGTCTTCTCCTGGTTAGGTACCTGTTGTAGTGGAATTCTTTCTCCAGCTCTAATATTTGGTGTCTCGTGTACGCGGTGCGTTGTCGCTTCGGCTCCATTCCGGGTTGGAACGAGCCGTTTGCTGTGGACAAAGTATTTTTATGAGTCATTGTGATGGTGCTGTAAATTATTTTTCAGTCATTATTGTAGACTTAATTTGAGGCTAATACCAGAATCGGCTATCCACGTTATAAATGGAAACTTTTTAATAAACAAAAGTGTTCCATGGACAAGTTTAATCAAATTACCGCATACAAAGAACGCTATGTCAAAATGATAAAGTCTATTATTCAAGCACACATACTATGCCATGGTTATGTGGGCTATATCGTGACGTGTTGCGTGAGGGCACCGGTCCTGAATAATGTAGAGCCTCGAAGGCCGTTAATTAATGTGCATAATAATTACACATGCACGTCCATGAGCTTCCTTTTTTGTTTGATTAATTGTGCCTGGCAAATTAGTTCGCTTTCAAACAATATGTATAATCTACGGCAAATAGATTGGATTAAAAGTGAGTACACATCGATATAGTCACCGACTGAAACAAACTGTCTTTGCATTATTGATTAGTTTTTACTTATTTACAACATTTTAGACTATTTCATGTGCTGGGAAAGGTTCTTCGAGATTAACTTGTATACCAATTTAACTGATTTAAAATATGTAGACTCAATAACTCAAATTAGGAATAGCTATATTACCTGGAAATTTATAAAAGAATATTCTTCAAAGAAACCATAAAATAATTCGCACAGTAATTGAGCACAAGTTTATTTCTAAGTAACCAATGTGCACGTTCATCACTGTAATAACACATCTATGAAATTGGTCATTATTGTCACAACTTTGCATCTATAACGCTAAAATATCGCAAAGCATTCCGTCTTAGCATCCTAGCTATCTGAGTAACTTTTGTCCGTTTTCACCATCAATCCCTAATTTTTAAGTGACCTCTATGGTAACACTTAGAAAAATGAATGTTGATTACATAGGGGTCACTTAAAATTCAGGGATTGATGGTGAAAACGGGCATTAGACCTATAACTATGGCCCTAAAGTACCTACTATATCAACGAAGATGAGTGATTATGCACTAGACACGCAGATGCACTTTGTTTGCAAGACTATGCCTGATCATCCGCAAATTGATTGATGAGGAAATAATAATCTTGGTGTATTGTATGTGAAGCTGTTTGCTTGACGTCTTATCTCATTCTGAGTTTACAAATGAAATGAAATGGTTCTATTCAAATGAAATAATACTCAGTATTAAATATTTATGTGTGATGATAATAAAGATTATTTGAAAAACACCAGCAAACTGGCAGGTCTGGCCAAGTCAAATCTAACCTTGTTAATGTTATTTTGTTTCTTTAAATACATATTTGGATTTTGCATAGAACTTGGCACTCATTTAGATCTCCATTCTTTTTGCGGCGAAGCCCACAGCCAAGCATAATTTTTGTATTGAACTTGGTTCTCCTTTTTTACATTTATGTTTTTGGTGGGATTAAATATTCATTATGGTATATATAGGTAATGTTCATTCGAAATATCTTAAATCTTAATGTATAGACGATAGAACATCAAGGCTGAGTTGCACTACCTTATTTTAACCATAACATTGGCTATAACCTGTGCTTTTTGTATGGAATTTGACAGATTTTTACGTTTGTAAAAGTAAAAATAAGATAGTGCAACTCTGACTAAGACTATCACTAAAGGGTCTTAACCAGAAAGAGGAGTTACATTGTAATATTTTAGGTTTTGCATCAAAAATGTAAAGCTTAATGTGCTGTCGACTGTAAACCAGAAATTAAGACAGACTTTTAGGTTATAGCAGTATAGCCACATATCGCTAAACAACTGAAAATTTGGCTTATGCCAAACTCGGTACGTTCTCAACTCGATACATTTCCTTAATATTTATCTTGCGTGTCGAGTTAAAAACGTACCGAGTTGGGCATAAGCCTAAAATTTAAAATTTTTAATAAGTAAAACAAGAGAACAGTCCGTTGATATCAAATACAAAGCATTTATTTCAACAAAATGAGCTCGTGAGAGTCTCTATCCATAATAAAGTCATCGCCGAAGGAAAGTTGGAAGCAATTTCCTATTTCACTTCAAGGAAATTAGTTTTACATCAACTTGAAAGACGTCCACAAAGGCATTATCGACGTTCGCCAATAGAGTCGTTTATTGTACGTATAATTTGTCAATTGCTTTTATTCTTTGATGGTGAACAAGTGTGAGAATGTTGTGTAGTTTTACTCAAAATATGTTATGAAGTTTGTAAACTCTAAAACAAAGATAAAAATAAATCCAATTTGGAATCTTCCACTCTAAGATCCTAGAGTAGATTTTGTTGATTTGGTGTTTAATTTATTAATTTTAGATTGAAGGTGGGCCCAGTTATTGGAAGAAAAAATATTCTTAAAACTCAATCCAGCGATTTGCCCGTGGACCAAGCTAAAATTGGGCCAAGTCACTGGAAGATTACAATGAAGGCTTTTCATTGTTTTAGTTTTTTGACCAAATCTTTGATATTGAAATTGAATCGAGTTTTTAATACGATCATTAGATCTATTAGATTCAAATCATCATTGTCACAGTCTAGTTCTTGTGGAGACTCCATTGCAGGAAGTCTCAAAAGATATTACTCATCTGAAAATTTACTACGATAACTTTCAGATTTATACACGTAAGCAAATAGGGATTCAACTTAGGGCTTACATTATTATTCATGCTCTGTAGTCATTCACTAAAACATTATTAACGCTTCACATGTCACCTAAAATATTCTCAGCGAAAATACCTACAATCAAGCCCTAGTCGAAACCCAGACAGTACAACAAAAACGCCTATCCTAAATCCATATAGTCCATCAATTCAACCTCTCATTTCTGTTGCAAAGTAACACTTAACACAACTACATAAAATGCTACAGTTTAGCTTGTCTGTACTGATTCCAAGCAACGCCCACACAGCCTGTAAGAGCGAGACAGGGATACGGGAACAGTCGGGAATTCCTCCGGAATCCGGGCACAAGCCTGGTATGTGCGGTTGGCCGCAGCCCGAGATTTCTAGTGGTCAAACTGACAAACCCACATTGATCCCGGCCTATGTACGGGGAATGTCATTTGGCGAGATATAAGGAAGTTACAGGCTTTGCTTATTTACTGCCCTAAATGTAATGGATTCTGAAGTCGTTTAATTCAGTTTCAGGTCATATACGTATTTGTCTAATATCTATCTTATACTATCTATACTAATATTTCTACACTGATATTATAAATGCGAAAGTAACTCTGTCTGTCTGTCTGTCTATCTTGCTTTTACGCCAGAACTGCTAAACCGATTTTGATTAAATTTGGCATAGAGATAGTTTGAGTCCCGGGAAAGGACATAGGATAGTTTTTATTCCGGTTTTTGAAACAGGAACGGGTGTTATAAAGTTTTTCTGTGACAGACAAAATAGCACGCGGGCGAAGCCGCGGGCGGAAAGCTAGTCATCTATAAATCTATGGTAATTTTTTAGATGTGACTCTATGTATGATTGGCATCATACTTTACTTGTAATATAAAAAATCTGACGAAATCTCTATCCTTCATTCCATTATTGAAAATGCAGCAGAAAATGCATTTCGAAACGACACTAAAACAAATTCAAATCAATGAGTTTGAACTTTGAATACGATTCGCTCAATGGTAAGGTAGGTATTAGGACCAATCACAGACTTGAATATCTATTCTTGAGTACTAAAACTGACTGAGTGTCTACTAGTGTAATAAATGATGCGCGTCTGCGATTAAATACGTCATGAACGTTATAAATGAGCAATGTAAAAATAGGTAGTAACCGATAGAATTAAATATAAATATAAACTGGTGTATACTCTTAAGAAAACGAAGAAACACTTGCGACCACGTGAACAAACACGAACAATTTTAATTAACAAGACAAGCTACTAATGAGTTCAATTTGTTTGTACAAGTCATTATTTTATAAATCATCGGCCGCAAAACCAGATACCCGTTACGGCTACCGGACGGACGCTCCGTCTTCGCTTCGTTAGCCGTATCACGTCATCGACACGATGACAATCTCCATTGAATTACCGGCTACCTGCGACGAATGTGTGGTCTCATAACCGATCTGTTAATCTCCAGTCGATCTCGCGACGCATGCGCTATCAATCCCGCACGGTGGTCCCGCCTCATTACGACGAACATTTGATCTAAAGCTAAAACCAACCATTGTCCACCAATGAAAAATGTTACCCCAGTGACAGGTGTCGATAAGACTCCAGTCTCCAGCACATCAGCTTTTGTGTAATCCTCAGCGAATATTCTAGCAATTTGTTGAACCACCACGAACCGGTTCATCAGCGAACTTGACCCAAAGATCGAATACCTTTACGTTGCTTCACCAATCAAAACTACACATACAATTCTAGTATTTGTGTCTACTTCAAAACAGAATTATGTCGCGTCACTTACAAGTTAATTTTGAATTTGTTGAATACAATATGCATAATTTACGATAATTTCGATTGTGGGAGCTGTCAGCGGGACAAGAAATATTATGGTGATGTTAACGTCGATATTGAAGTGAAGCCTTTATGAACAGTGACCTTATCAAGTGGTGTGACTTCAATAGATTATAACTTGATACTTGCAATTCTCGTCCTTTGTATCATAGTAAAGTAGGTATAACAGTACAGTATTAGATATGGATAATGATCGGTAGATGAGAGACGAGATTGACTTTTTATTACATAAAAAATCCACATTCCGCAAAATCACAACTCTGAACAATTTGAAACCATTCTATACATACTGTTGGCAGAACTACGTATTTACAAGTTCAACGAAACGTCATGAGTAAAGCAACCATAATAAAAAAAGGATGTAGAAGATAAGTAAGTTATTTTTGAATGAATAAATGCATTAACCAGCTTTACTAGCTCGCTTGCATAGAAATATAAATACATTAATGTGGTACGTAGGTATTTAAACAGAACTCAAATACTTATTTTATGTGGACTTTTCAACAGTTACATGAACTAAATAAAATGTTTAGTATAATTTAAAGAAAAATGCCTTTTTGATTCACTTTGGATTCTATGACTGAAACATAAATTAGAATAACAATAACTTAATGATGGATGGAAAATATCAACACTTACTACATCTTCAGTACTATTCCTAGTAAAATATTAGTTCATTGTTGTTCTCAAACCAAACAGAAAGTGTCCTACATTGATAATTAGGCTTAAGCCAATGTCAAAACTCAACGTAACAAATCTATATATATAAAAATGAAACCCGTTTCGCGTTGTCACGGCATCACGTGTGAACGGCTGAACCGATTTCGATAATTCTTTTTTTTAAATGTTTGTGGAAGTCCAAGGATGGTTCTTACGGAAAAAAATATTAAGAAAATCTCTACGCTAAGGCGGTACGAAGTTCGCCGGGTCAGCTAGTGTAAGATAAAAAAATATTCAACGTTTAATTTTATAAACATGCTCGTAGTCCTCAAATGCATAGAAATACTTGAAGAAAAGGTCGTTGGTATGTAGGGTTGCCAACTTTTCTTTCAAAATATAAAGTATATCAGAGGTCGGAGAAGGAAAACAGACAGTATTAAAAAAAAAACAAACAGTATAGCTCTACAACGCGTACTTAAATGTGGTGTTGGGCATTTACTTTTAAAAATATCTATGGATACTAGTGATGCTAGCTGAAAACAGTATTTTGTATACTTTATTTTTGTTCAACAGTAAAAAGTATAATTTAGTGAAAAACAGTATAATACTGTTCAAAACAGTATAGTTGGCAACCCTATTGGTATGACAAATCATAATCAATTTGCAACAATTAACATAATAGAAGATGATAAAAAATAAAATCCCGACGACACAAAAACTTAGATCGATAATCTCCAAGTCGAATTCTCGACCACAAACTTCTATTTGAAAGCAATAAAAATAAATGGGGCTCATTAACTTAAGAGTTGGGTCCCATTGTCACGCACAAGCCCCGGCGTCTTCCAGCACTAATGACATCACATTAGTAAACTGTCAAAACACATCAAAAGGACACACGCCTAAAGGATTTCGAGTGTGCAAAGAAGTTATTGATTGCGAGCGATTTGTTTCCTTTTTAAATCGCCGCTAACGTTGCCCGTTTAAAAATCATTTTGCAGTTCAAGCACTTTTGTCTGTTGAAGCGCCAAAGCTTGAATTAATGTTGTCAAATTAATCTTGTGGATCTCAAGTATTCTTTCATTTGATGGTTTTGGGCGCGCTCAATTTTTTCTTCTTCTATTCTTTCGCAATATTTTGTGGTCTGTTTCGAAAAGTACCTCCAGAGATCGTATTGTGAGTATTTTTTAAATGATGTTATGTATAATTTGTAAACTTGTTTCATATTAGTCAACCGTCAAAAGATATCACATTGCCATCTTCTACGCTGAGGGCGATTGCAACTTTAAAAATATGTATTTATATCTAACTAGGCATTCATTTGTGTGTGCTTTGCTTTTTTGTAGACAATTTTTAGCCAATGTTAATTGTAGTTAGTGCTAAACTTAAGCTTCATATTATTATTATTCATAAAGCTCTAGTAGGTACTTGCTTTTTTTCATTGATTAAATATTTTGTTGCTTAGTCTTACTCTTTATGTAGAACAAAAGTCCTTAACTAATTTTAAATTTAACAAAAATTAAGGACATTTAAGTAATGTAACACCTTTATGTGACAGCCTTCACAAACTTAATTTCTTTGAGAACATTTGGCCGGTTTTTTATTATAATTTTATTAAATAAACAACTCCTATATACCTACAATCATGGCATTTGGCAAGAAGGAATTAATTACAGAAAAAACAAAGTAGGTACATTGTAATTTGATTTTTAATCATATTTTCAAAAATTTTGAGAGGTTGTATAGCGTTTTTTATTATAATTATTTTTTTTTAATTAGAAAAGGTGAAAAATTGATATTTATGTCTTATGAGTGAACCTTTACCACTGAGGATTTTTTATTTTTATTTTTACCACCTTTTGTAAATTGAATTTATCGCTAGTCATGAATGATGCGACGTCTGGTTTATTAATCTCACTTCAATCTTGTTGATTACAGTACAGACAGACTGATGTTTTGGTCTCTTGACCAACTCTACCATCAGCAGTTCTGGTTTTGTCTGTTTTTATTTAGTACATCCACTAATATTTATCATTAAAATATCTTCAATTATTTATCAATCCAACGCACGTCGTTTTCGTTAAAACATCATCATAACAGCATTCTAAAACAAACTGTATCTAACACCTAGCAAGTTAGAAATCCTGTTTTAAAAGAAGCTACCTGCCCTCTTCTTTAAAATGCTTAGTTGGATGTCATGAATTATTGTGTTAAATTATACGTGCATTGAATAAATTACTCCTATAGATATTTTACACCGCATCTCAAAGAACAACTTACTAAAAATACTTACTTATAATGTGTAAAAGCTATTAAAACACAATGAATGGTAGAGTCCTCGTTACCATTCCTATTGCAGAACGGTATTCCGTTCCGGGTAAGGATATTCTCCTTCGGGTCCTTACCCGTCACACTTTTTGAGTTAACTTACTAGGATTATGATCAGTAATAGAAATTAAAAAAATATGGCAGAGTTCTCTCTACCATTACACCGTGTAGAACTGGATATCTTTTTATCCTTAGCACGGTTTGAGTCTAATAATAAATATGAAATCTTGTTGACATATTAATTTGCCATAAGGTCAATGTCAACAATATAATTATAATAAACAAAATATCTAGGTATGTACAGGAAAGAAAAGAGAACAGACAAAACGCGCCTGCATAAACGAAGACCTGGCTCAGGCCACGGGACAATGCAATGACGGTCACACAATTATTATGGTCTGGATCAATAAATAGTGTTATTGAAGAAAATTATCAAGATGAAATTAAGACATTAACAGCTTACAATCAACATAGTAGTTAAACAAAAGGTATGTACTGCAAAAGTTATAAATGGTTGCTGAAGTAGGTATCATTTTGATTGGTGTAGGTAAATAGGTAATTTGTCATAAAAGATTCAGTGACACCTTCAGCAACGAAGACCATTCGGTGTCCTAGTTACTAGTTACATACATAAATAAAAAGTTAAAGGCCTAATAAAGGATTGATAATAATTTCATAGTAATTTGTCATTTATCCGAGTAAAAATGGAATAGAATAGGTACAAATTTTGGATTTTTTACCTAAGTGTATGTTCTTTGTATGCGGTATCATTAATCATGAGATTCATTGATTGAATGTGGATTACTATTGTAGAGTTAGGGCCTAACAATTTATCTTTGTTTCATGAAAGTACATGACATATTGTTTACATAATAAATAATGTAAATAGCTTACATGCGCCAGCAACGTGTATCTTCTTCATCCAAGGATAGATGACCCTGTCAGTATTATCCGAGCATATAGAAGAATCGTCATCTTCGACGGGCGGGCTGTCCAGCAGTAGCCGCTCGTCATCCATTTCTGATACAGGTGATCCTTCCCGACCGAGGGCATGGAGTTTTCTACCAGCAGGAGCCGCTTCTTCTATATGTCTTTCTAGCCTGAGCCCAAGCTCAGCAAGGCCTGGTGCTACTTCCCCATTATGGGACGGCACGTAGCCGTGATCTGCGTCTGATGGATGTGACGGCTCTGGCGGTCTTGGTGGAGGAGCAACGGGAGGGTGCTGAGGCAACGGATGGTAATACCCTCCGTAACCGTACCCTGTCCCAATCTGGACAGGGGCGTATTGATGCTGATAGCCATACTGCAAATGCTGGTGCTGGTAGTACTCCCCTGGCGGTATGTAGTCCGCCTGACTGTACTCTTCCGAAGGTGGGAACTTGGGGTCCGGCTGCGGCTGGTATCCACCGTTCATGAGGAAGGAACTCATGGTGGGCGTGGTCGAGTCGGCGCATCACCTTACTCTCTTTGAAAAATCCATCAGCTTGTAGTTATTTGTTTAGTTTCAAGTATAAAACAACAAAAAATTAAAACCTTATCAGTCAGATTTTTGTCGTTTGGTTACTCGTATCCTATGTTACTAGCAGTGGTAAGAAAAAGTTATTGTTCACAATCAACAGCGTTCCACAAGTTTATGTTTTGTAGCAATTAAATCGTCATTAAAACAATCACAATAACGCACACACTATAATGTCACTAAAATTGTTTATCACTATCACCAACATCAGTATCTGCACACAGTTTTTACCAACAACAATATTATTGCAAAGTCATTTGATTTATCACTTTTTGATAATAAACAATGGAGTTAAAGGCGCGCTATACTGCGACGACATTTTGAGACAATATACACTGACTGGCCGACACGCCAGCGCACTCTGTCACTTTAAGGACTCCTATACATGTTCATCAATTTTTACATACCACCTTCCATTTTTAAGGCGGAGCTGTTCTTCTACTGTCTTACTTAGTACCCTACAAAAAAATCAAGACCTTATTTACAGCGCGCATAAGACTCATTTACCTTTGTACGCTCCATCAAAAGCATAAAACCGCAACAATAATGTTCCCCCTTCCACCCATAAACAAGTCAATGCGTGCGACTGAAATAGAAACAACAAAGTTTGATAGAGGCATAAAGTAGAGGCCAGTAACGTTCTCGCTCTAGCGTATGAGCGCGAACTAATTGATGAAAGAGACAAAGTATCGATTCAGGTTTATGGCGTATAGCGGATTAAGAAGCTGCCTCAATAATAATACAGAATGAACATGGTCTCTGTTCGTAACGACACGGCGTTTTAAATATTTAATATGCAATTTCCTTTAGTTTTCATTATGAGAAGTTTCATTATTATAATGGACCAACAAGACAGAGTTAATTAGTAAAATATTATTTACACTAATTAATTAATATTATTCAAAATATTTTAACAGGAGATCAAATAATTTATAGGATTTAAATGCCATAGAGATTAGAAAATCAGTATCTTGAAATCACTTAAGGGCCGGAGATAAATATTAAAACCCTAAATAATTGGCTTCAAATGATCCAAAAATTTAACTGCAATGAAGCTCTCAAAACTTAGAACTGTGCTAATTAAAATTTTCTTCGTCTTTAAAATCCTTCTGTTCAGATTTTCACTAACCATTAATTGTATCAAAATCAGATAACTTTTTAACAGTCAAGTGGAACCATTACCAAAACTAAAGACAATCACTTGAACCTGCACTAAGACGACACAGATCCTACCCGTGTAATCCAAACTAATCGGTGTAACAGCACACGTCTCGTAACAGACAAGAAAACAAACAAAAACAAACGAGCACAGTCATTGCCTATCATGGACAGTAAGCAGCTAATACAACACTAAGACCGCCGACAAGGGAGCCGCTAGACAGCAAATAGACAAAAATGTCCGGTGATTTTATTGAATTAGACGATCACAGTGAGCGTGCACTTTCTGCTGAGTCACCGGCTGCCAAGCTGCAGCCACAAAAGGTGGTAACACACGATCAATGGGCGTTTGATCAATAGATGTTATAGCTCTGGATGTGTAAACCACACTAAGTCTTGATTTGGTGATCTTTGGTATCAGGTAGTCTTTATTTTACCACAAATAGACTGGAAATTCTTGAATTTTGCAAAGAATGACATTTTATCTCCTACTATGATCATCATTGTGGCTGTGCTTCGTAAATTTAATAAGGCAAAAAGTGTCTTATTCTTTCACAATCAACAGATTGAAGACGAAGAATTCAATAAAGAAGCCGTTTAAATCAAATTATCTAGCAGACATCGTTACCGGTAAACTTTCTCCCTTAGCGAGTTCCCTGTTGTGTTTTTTCTCAGCCGCTAACTGCCTGCCAGCCGTTCCAGCCAGCACCAACTTAATCCAAGTTTAATGAACAATACGACAGGTCCTTAATCAAACTTTGGATTTCCTAAAATCCCTGGTAGTCTAAACATTACTTTATGTGGACTTAAATAGGATTCAAATTCAGTTAAATATATTTTTGCACATGCGACTTCTTTCATAGGAATTTCTAGCTTGAGAAAAACCTATTTAGTTGACTTTGATCGTATTATTTGTTTCTTGTTTTGCCTTCGCCTCTGTCTAAGAAAGGTGACTAAGGCGAAATTCAATGAGATGTTCTGTTACTCCAAGAGAAATCATACAAAAGGTACCTGATGAAATTTCATTAAATATTGAATACATTGCTTGTTCAACCAATTAATTTTGAACAGTTGGAAGCGTGAGTCTTATTAACATTTTGAATTGAAGAACATTCAAGCTTCAATTACAATGTCGTGAGTTTGCTACTTCATAATTGTTGTGGATCAATTTCAAATCATCAGAATGAGATAAATTCTTTATGCAACATTATTTTAACTCCTATACTTACTTACTTGTTGATACCCTCTTTTTAGTTTCTAATTTATTTCAAAAACTTTTGACCCTCCCACGCGATTTCGTTAGCAAAATGTTTTTTCTTGCTGCAAAACTAAAATTGGGGTTCAGCAGTCTCGTTAATGCGATCGAGATGAAAGGGATCCCTCGGATAGCCAATTTTCTATAATGGCCGGTTGCATTTCCTATCTTTGGCGCAACGTGCCGACTTTTTTGTATCCCCTCCCGAGGGCTGGGAATTTATGGGGTACATAATGGGATGCACATAAGTTCTTTTTTATGTTATGGGTGCAACATGTGTTTTGCAATATATTTTTCTTTCGCTTTATTTTTCAATGTGTCTGTTTTTATAAAACAATGTTCTTTTTAGAAAGCCGGATATCACCTTATTTGAAAACTGTTTCAAATCATAATGTTTTAACAAACCTGAATTTTTAAGCAAATAAATAAAATATCAAAATTCAAAAGTTATCGTTACTTTTGTATTCGTAATGTTACTTACTACTTACGGAGCTGTTACTTTACCTTTCGTATAAACAAATTCATAAACATCCGCTCTCTTTTAAAATTTCCTAAAATATTTATTCGCAACTCATTCCAACTTTTTAGTATCTACTGCCAAACATACTGCAAACATTACAGAAAAGCTTCGTCAACGCTACAGAGCTTTTGAAAGCCACGCGAGTTCCCGCGCGCGTCATCGCATGTCAGCTGTTTGACACCACCCTCCCCCCTCCTCCCATCACCCGCTGGGGCTTACAATTTTCGATGTCTAATCAAAATTTTCGGTGACGTATAAGCACTTAAATAATGTCTTCTTTCAGAAGAATTATGAAAACCTGACTAGGCATGTAGTAGATTCCGTTTTTGCAAAAAAATATTTTATTCTGACCGTGAACATGAGTTCCCCAGATTTCAATAGTACTTTTAGATAATTTCAGTCATAGTCATTGATATGATTATTCCTATAATATTGTCCTAACAAGGTTTCAAATTGACATTCACACTCAAACTTCTATTCTGTTTGTACTCGTATTTATTGAAAATTGAATCTACGAGATCTTTGTTTGTTTATTTGCCTTAATCCAACCAAAAAGTGGCACAGAATCCTCAATCAGAACCAAAACAAAAGGTAAGTTAAATGAATGATGATCACCATTCCTGGTAACATTGGCATCGTTGACAGAAATACCAAAACAATCATAAAGCAATTTCAAATCCAAGTACTGCTCGAGATTACTCCAGTTCATATTGCCATTTTATGTGTGTGTATGTTTCACAAAAACGTCAAATGTTACAGCGTCGAGGGGAAACGTTTGGTATTCTTGACTCTCCCGTTCCTGAACGCCTTAAGTTTTTATAAAACACGATTGATAATGGACTGTATATCTTTGCCATTAAGTTAGGTTTTCCCTTGAGATTCTCAAAGATATATAGGGTGGTTTCCAGCTGAGTGAGCAGAGCTTTCATTAATCAGCGAACGGCCGCGACAGTGCAGCGGCGCTGGCGTCGTGGCTCAATTTTTTTCCTCTTTCGCCCTTAGATTGGATATTGGACACGATTTCCTGCGAACCCGGCTGAGACTGGGTGGTCGATCGATAGAAGTAGCTAACAAGTGGCACGTATCTATTATATTTGTGCTAGGTATCTACGTAATTAACGGCGTTGGTCGTACTGAGGCGCGGATATACAAAATGAGGTAGTTCAGTGTAAGTAAATGGAGGCATAGACACGAAATCAGATAGTTCAATGTCTTCAGTGAAAATAAAACTTTTGGAACATAAATGATACTATTTAGTAAAACCTTCGATATTAAATCATGTATTTTCCATTACCTTACCTCATTGATTGTTCACCAAGTAAGTCAAAAGTTTTCCCATGAGCCTCACCACCACCATAATTTTCTTTTTACGTTACTCTTAACAATTTTATCACCAAGATTATTATCACCAACTTTCTATGTTTTATGTTAAGCATAGATACACTTCTGTGTATGTATCGTGACTAGGTTCTCGAAGCAGGTAGGTACAGTCACAAACAAACATACCTACTTATTGTGTTTTTTCCTTGTAACAATACAATTTTAGTTCATGGCCTAATCCATTTTTTCCTCTAGACATTGGCAAAGGCAGGATTTTAAATAAATGGAAACATATGAATGTAAAATGAACCCATAGCAAATTAATATTTTACCAAGCTATAGCTTTGTACAATAATGGATTTAACTTTATTTTCGATATTTACATACAAATTGGTTGCGTTGATTCTCATAATTTTAATTGCTAAACCTGAGTGAGATCTGAGTTAACTTGGCAATTAATTTCATAGCAACTTGGCCATTACAGCATAGTGTAATAATAGAGTTACATGTTTCAGAATCTTCTTCTTCCTCAGTCCCTCACTGATGAGGATCACGACCACAGATAGTGTTCCTCCACAGACTGCGGTCATAAGCTGTGTGGACCGCACGATGCAAACTCCCGCCCACCGTCTTCCTCACCGCGTCCGACCATCTCGTCGATGCCCTGCCCCGAGCACGTCTGCCTTTCATTTGTCCCAAGATGATTCCCAAGAATTCAGAATCTAGTTGGCCTAAAACTATCACGTGTGATTAAGTAAAAAGATTATTTAGGTAACTGTATCCGACTGTACCACGCTGCGAATTACATAATAACCCCATGCATGACGTGAGAATTGATCCGCGAGTTTCCCTGTATTAATTAATCAATGTAGTTGTAGCTCGACGTGAACAACAGAATTTGTCATGATGTATGATGCAGAGACCCTGGGTTCGACTCGCAATCGGGTCACTTTCTTTTTGTCTTTTCCAATAGATCTTAGTATAACATTTTCTATTTGAACTTAATAGAGATAATAAATCAGAAACACATCTAGAGTTCCGGATCTACTATGATTTTTGAAGTCATAAAAATCCACTCAATCGTAAAATACAGTTCTCCTATAACCAGTTTGTGGATGTGCTACCGCTTT